TTACATGGACTGGTGGATTAGAAAACGCCTGAGAAATAACGTAAGGGAACTGTACTGACAGCCATAGCTCTAAAAGGAACAGATGAGAATAATTTGTAGCCAAAAGGAAGAAAGAAATGAAAACTCTTGACCTTGTTTACTTATTTCATGGTCAAGTCATTTATAATACACAAGAATGTAAACCTAATTATGAAAGGGACACTTATTAAAAAAGGGAAAATAAGATTATATAAAGCTGACTCAATTTTTAAAAGAAGCTAGCACAATGCAAAAGACTAAAAATCACCTTCAGTGTCTGCAACAAATACCCATGAAGAAAGAATACATTTTACAGGATAGCAAAGTCAAGGTCCATCTGGAAGCAATTAGTATAAAAACAAACAGCTTATTTATAACACATAGGACACAACACAGTTAGAATTAGATCAACTTGACTAAGTAACCATATCCCAGTTGTAAGGTTCTCTCCCAATACAATTTAGGAATACAAATTTAGAAGAAAATGATCCCTAATAAAAAGGAACTAATAATCCGTTCTGAAGAAACAGGCTCACAAGATGATCCACAAGTAACTTCTGGGAACAAGAGCTACATGGCATCCTGTACTGAGATAATCAGTTATGAATGGAAATGGTCACATGGTTTGCATGTCAATCCCTTCCTCTGTGCAACTTGCTTTAGCTAATAGATCTTATTTCTAGAAACAAGTAAGTCATTTCAAGCTTGGATTCCACTTTGGTTTTTTTCAGTAAACTACAGCAGATCCACACAACATTGTAGTGATTGGTAGGTCAGGAACTTCCACTTATCCCTGGCAAAGGAAGACAATACCACACAGTCCCACACAAAGGCTCCTGCAGGTGAACAAGTCCATTCCTGCTGAAATGGGGAAAAAGAAGAGCTGCAGACAGCCCGGCTTCTTCTCCCTACAGGACAGGCTTCTGCAACAGCTATTTTCCAACACAGACACTGAAAGCAAAAGTAGATAACTTCCCTGTAAAGTGATAGAACTGATCCAGAGAAAACAAAAGCCATCCTGGAGCAGCTATTAGGGACAACAGGTTTCTAGTTAGTTATTGATTGCATTTAATTGATTGGAAACCATTTCTCTAGAGATTTTTCTTTGGTGGAGATTACAGCATACTAGATACAATTCTGTATAAATAGCATTTTTATGGGTTGATCTTTTGCAGGTTACGTAGCAGATAACCAGTTATTTAGAAGTGAAAAAAATTATCCAGTCCTGTAGAAATGACTATAAACACTAATTTGACTGGCAGCATTTAATTCTGCTGCCCTTTACCATCCCATAATGGAGACAAACAGCAGTAATTAGTTGGGAAGCACCTGTGTCGGGCTAGTACAGAAAAAGGGGAAAACATTTTCTTGACTGTGAGGCAGCAGCACCAGGAGGCTGCATTTCCCAAGTACAGATACATTCCCTATGCACTCACTGTGACTTGGCAATTGCCCTTTGAACAGCAATTCTATTACACTGAACACTCTTGTGCTTCCACTTCTCTAAAATTCTAACAGTCCTTCATGTCAGAGGGAAGGGAAGCTACCACTGGATCTGATCTCTCAGATCTTTGGCACTGAAAAAGGTACAAAAGGCTAAGTGACCTTAAACTGCAACCCAATAGCTAAAATGCTATTAATTTCCTTTGATTTACTTGGTATGCATAGCACAACTACAACTGAAAAAAATATGAGAAGATAAAAGAATCTACATAAGATCAAATTTTAAGAGAGATGCTTATCCACAGTAGCTCTTCCCAATGGAACAGTAGAAGAGCCACAGCTTTTTTACTAGGAAAAGTGGTAAACATACTTTCAAATAGGTTAAGGAAGGAAAGGGATTTAATCTGGGAATATATAATAATTAAATTCTCTTTATCATCTTCCATTTTGATACTTCTAACAAAACTCTCCCACATATAAACTACATGCAAATTCTGTATTACCTGGGGCTGTGTGGCCTTTCATAGATTTTTGCAAAGAAAGAGCAAGATTTTCTTTAGATGTTAACTGCAAAGGAGTTATTTATCACTAGTTATACACACAGAAACAGTATATATGAATGCTTGCATTTCCTGTCTAACTTCATTGAAAAAATCCCAGTGCCTAAAACTGAAAGACTCCTTTTGATCTTATCTGAATTTGTGAGGAATTCAGTAGAAATACCGAGGATGCAGTTTTAAGCTTAAAATACAGTTCTGCCTTCACTCTTATTCCCAGCTCTTCCCATCTTCTGCCTGCTCCTGGCACTAGCACTCATGCAGCAGCAATGGTGGGCTATTTCAGGAAGCTGGAAATGATGAAGATTAATCAGGAAACAATCTTTCTTGTCCTCACCACCTCCCTGAGCTGACTTGCCTTGGTAATCATAGGGTCCCATGATTACCAAAAGTGGCTTAGGGCAGAGACACAGCAGTTGAGCCTGGACTGGCTTACACTGCAGCAAAGCCCCGCTGGAGCTTGCATTCCCCCCCTCCTTGGACCATATACTCCTAATCAAATCGGCCTCAGCATGAGCACCCAAGAAGTGGAGCAAGAAATCACTGCTGTGACTGGAACACACTCCCTCACTCTTCCCAGGTAGTCTGTAGCCAGCTGCAGTTCTTGAGGCTGCCATAGCTTACTCGAACATACACAAAGGATGTAAAAGCCTTTCTGTGGCAAAAGCAGAAATTTCTCATCTCTTAGAGACAAACTGATTCCAGAAAGGTTCTTAACCTTTAATGTGTTCTGATAAAGAATGAAGTAGGGTCAAACACCTTTTCTCTGGATGTTAAAGTAGTCATAGTGTGACCAAAGCGAACTGAGTCCCAACCAGAAAGGCTAATGAAGCTTATTTTCACTTTATTTGATAATATTCCTGACAGAAGATTCACCTGTGTACACTCCACTAAACTTTTATATTTTACAGACTACGTTATCACACATCATCTGTTTCCTAAGTGTGCTCCCACACAATGCCATAAAATCCTGCTTAATTACTTGCATTGTAATTCTTCTACATGAACACAATACCTTCATTAAGGTGATGCTAGCAGCCCCAAGTTTTACTTCCCTGTCTTTTATAGTCAGCTTCCAGGAGATAATGACCTGCTGGCACTACCACGTACAGTTCAACCTCCCTGACGTATGCTCTGTGGGCACCCTTCCTTCATGTCTCAGTGCTAATATTTGATCCTTGATAAAATCATATTGGGAAGCTAAAATACTAGAAAAATTCCACCCTGCTTCTGCACTAAACCCCAAACATATCCCCCTCTACTGGTTCAGCTACCCAAGGAACAGAGATTTAGTGGAAGAGAAAACTTTTGGCAGCAACTTTTACCTCAAATCATACTCCTGGAATTAATGCTAAGCCTACCTTCTACAAAAAAAAAAGAGTCATTGGAATTTGGGCTACATTTTTTCTGAAGTTCATGTAGTCTAGTTGCCAAGCACAATATGCTGCTTTAAGCAAAAGCACAATTTAAAAACAAATCATTGTAATTTAAGATGTTTATAGTTGCAGGAGAGGTAGAAAAACTTTAATTTCTTTAGTCATAAAGAAATTTAGCAGCAGAGAGCAATCAATCATAAAACAAATGGTGCCAAAAGATTCAGGCTTTTTACAAGGTTTCTAAACAGTATCTTTAAAAACAGAACAATAAATACTTTATGTAGTGAGTCTGAAAAACATGTACACTTCCTTTTGACTCAGTGCACACTGCATCAGCAATTCATTAATATTTTTCAAAAGCCACATGATTAGAAAAAAAACATCAGTACATAAAATCATTAAGGCAACTCACAGTATCAATTGTCTCTTAGTAACACTGATAATACAGATGGAAGGCTCAGATGGATTCATGCTACCATGACAAGAAGAAATACTATTTATGGGAAAGTTTGAGATCAAATGGGCAAAATACTTCAGAACAAAAAGCAAAAGAAATCAAAAGCTGTCAACTCCAAGAGTCACCAGGTAAAGTTAAAAGCCTGAAGTCATCTGAAATTCAAAGGAGATCATCACAGCAGTTCAAAGTTATGGGACATTTCCCCAGAATACCAGGTTAAGTTCTCAAATTTACCCTGTGCTGTACATTTACAGTCTCTTTCTTTTGTTGTTTCTCTTCTCATACTTCATTTTCTGAAGATAACTCAAAGCCTGTTATAGCTAGAACCTTGGAATGAACTTACTGCCAAGAAAATGGCAAGTTACATGCTCCTGTCCCTACCCCAATGAACTATCTAAGCTTGAAGAATTCAAGCTCCAGGGTCACTAGATTTTATAGTAAAGTCACACAGAGGATAAATGAGTATGATGATGGGTAATTTTTCTTCTATGTATCACTTAATATTATGTAAGACTGTGGCTCATTTGAAAAAAGTGCATAGAATGGTAAGTGAAAAATGAGAGGTTCACAATGAATTGCAAATTATGTGCTTTTGTATGAAAGATATGTAGTTCACCCTGCAAGAGAAAGCTCCCTTCACCTGCAAAACAATTACAGCTATGACTTAACACTGCAATTACATGTCTATGGATAATGAGGCCTCATGCTCTCATTTGTCTCCCCAATCTTCCATACAGTCTTGTGCCTTTTACATCTGCAGACCTCTTTTCTCCCATCCCACCACGTATTTTGTCCAGATAAAGATTTACTATGAAAAAAAGCAAAGCAAAACAACTCCAAAGCGACACATGGCAAAGCTATCCACAGAGCTAATTTGCTAACATGTTTAATGTAAAAAAGCTTTTCTTAAATGAAGCTCTACTTTAAAGTAAATGAAGTTCAACTTTAAAGGTCTACTTACACACCATAGTATTCTGTTCTGCTTTGCAGAACATAACTGCATTTTAGCCTGAGCCTTACTTTTGTCTGCTGTGGCTTTTATTTAAAGTTACTGTAGTGGCATACAAAGTCAGTTCACAGACATGCATAATTTAACAGAAGTTAGAACTTACGTCATGTTAGAAATCTGTCAGAATTAGTTAAGCTCACCTCTTTATCCATACTCTCTAAATCCTCTTTACACAGAGTGTACAGGGGCATTGTTTCAGACATACTTGGCTGGCGTTTCCTCTTAGATGGACCAGGCTGCTCTTCATTTTCACTTGCTGGTAGGTCGTCTTCTTCAAACATCTGCTGTTGATGTGGCTGAACAACTCTGAAAAAATTCAGGGGTCTCACATAAGAAAGATTTACTTAGTTTAGAGCAACAAATAAAATTCTATAAAAAATTTATAACTGCCACGTACCTACAACTTCACTTAATAAAGCTCTGTGTTCATCAACAGGTCAGTCAAGTCTCCTGATTAATGCTTTTATTTTCAGTCTGACAGCTAAAGTTTTTATTCTACCTTTGACAAGGTCTCTCCTGCCTCCGCATTGCTCTTTTAAGTAACTACCAAACCTTTCTTGCTGCCAAGAGCTTCAGTAGTTGCACATGCATTGCCTTTAAAATACATTAATATTCCTGCACAAGTGGAGTTTCTCCATCACTTGACAAATTTATTTTTCCAGAAGCAATGCCTACATTCTAATGCATTTTTTCCTGATCTATGCTAGGCTTTTGAGTCTCTCAGTATATCCTTCTATTTCTCAACATTACAGACAAGAGTTCTGCATGCAGAAAGAACACTTCTGCAGTGTTGATCTTCAGACATTTCCCACCTGCTAAGCCTGGATAAGATGCAAAACAGCCAATATTTCTTTTTGGCCAATGCATTGAAATATGGTAGCTTTTTCCTTTTCTATTACATTGTTAATTACTGTACTTAATTCAAACATTCAGATACAAAAAGGAATACCAAAATCTTCATTAAAATGGATAAAACAATCATAGCTTCATGGGAATTGTTTTATGATAGTAATAAAGATAGACTACATATTCAACAACAGCAGGAAACTTCTACCTTCCTTGGGTAAGTTTTTCTGTGACTATTACTTAAGTACTAAAGATTTCTAGAAGCTTAAATTACTATACAATACAGATTAACTACCAGTACTGGTCTGCCACATTAGCCTCCTGTAACAAATTACAGCAGCTCAGCACCACCCAGAATCCAATTCAAAGGTCATAAAGCTCATGAGTCACAAAATATTCATGTTAGCCAGAAGACTGTGTATTTGGAGAATGACTGCCAGAAGCAGGTATAAAAGTGACTGTACTTGAAATCACAAGTAGTTTTAAGCTGCAACTACCAGGTGAGAGCCCATCAACCTGTTTCTGAGGGTGACTGTGTCTGAAAAAGGCTACAGTGTAGTCTCTGCGGACAAGAGTTTCGATGTAGAATGGCTAATTCTCATCAAGTCAGGATTTACAAGAATCAGCTTTAGACCAACAGTCCCCTACAAAAAAAGTCATTACTAGCTTATGCAAATCCAGTCTACCATAGGTAAGGTCCTACAAAATTATTTCTCCTTTTGTGAATTGACAACTTCTTAAGAAGGTTACCTAAATATCAAGGGGTTTTTTACTTCAGTACTTAAATTCCAGAATGTATGAAATCTGAAAGCCATACAAAGCTGTCAATTTCGCTCATTTTGACAGCTCATATTTCATAAATACACATCTCTCTTCTCAGATCCCATGGATGGGTGCAGGAAATTTGAAATCTTGTTTTGAATGGGAGGTTGTGAGGGAAAAGAGCTGAGCCACTGTCATGCTACCCAGACCTGCACCATATGTTGCAGAAGACCCCCAGCAGCACAGCGTAAATCAGCAGCACAGCAGACATGTGCCCCTTTGTAGTCTTATTCCTGTACAGTGGAATTTCTTGTGAAGCTTAAACAATTTGGATGCTGTGAAAATGAACTAACCAAACTGCTTTTTTGCTAGAGTTTCTCACCACTAACAGTTTTTGGGTTGGGTGTTTTTTTCTCCCCTCTACTATGTTTCCTCTTAAAGATCACAGTTTTCTTTTGCTACTAAATTGCTCTCAGACAGTAATCTTCATAGGCAGATGACGAGAACAATATGGCATTACACTGTGTTTTCCAAAAGGTTCTTTTAAAGTATGATTTCCTTGCCTTTTTGATATGTAACCTAGGCAGGAAAGGTGGCGATGCCATTTACATTCTTAGCAAAACAGAGAATGACCAAACAAAAGCTACAGGCATGTCACACAACTCTACTAAAAATATGACAAGCTTGACCATTCCAAGAATTACAGAGAAGTTATATGTAGCATGACAGCCAAGTAGATTCTCTTAGACTAGAAAAATCGAAATAAATCTAGCATATTTTTTTAATAACACATTGTCATACAGTTGATGAGAACTTCTCCTTTTGTAGAATACAGTGTGAGATCATCCTTGACTACATTACAAATATTAACTGTAAAATAACTGTATTTATAGCTTCTAAAGGCTTCTGTCAGATCTTTTTCCCAGTATTTTCCCACTTCTACTAGATAAGAAACACTGGGCCTTCTCACAAAAGCATTCCAAAAGCAATGCAAAATGAAGTCTTAAAGGTCAGTAAGACATTTTTTATTTTTTCAAAAACATTTTTTAGGCTTTTACATTTTCAGTTGCCTGTAAAGTTGAATCAAAATTAATAAATATATAATAAATATATTTAAATATACAAATATATATTTAAAAATAAAGACATGAAAATGCAGGAATTTACACTGATTTCTAGTTAAATTAGATTCCTAAGTATTTTTTAAAAAATAACTGTAATTCAACCCTGAATTAATGAATAAACATATTCAACCCTGCAGAGGCTGGTTGGTGCTTACCAGTCCTACATATACAAGGACAAATATATGCAGGGTGGGTTCAACATTTATGGAAGTAACAAGCACTTTCCTTGATACATCAGGGTAAAACCTAAAATAACATTATCATCATGAAGTGTTAAAAATATTTAAATTCCAGTCACGTGTTCAATTACGCACTTCATACTTTTGCTGTCATAATAACACTGATAACATTAAGTAGGAAAAATAGTAACGATGAGCATCTAAATTCAGACAAAAAAGTTTAAGTGAAATTAATGTATACAAATCTTCAAGTATGGCTTAAGCCACCAACATCTGCTTGACACACCTCTTCAAATCAAGCATTCAGTGCATCTTAGCATTATTTTAAAACAGGGTGCCACTTTTAACTTCTTGTATGTAAATGACACCCGTATTTTAAGCTTTGCCTCATCTGTTAGCAAATTACTAGTGTTCACTAAAATATAACTTGCAGAGTAACTTTTTTTTATTCTAGTCCATCCAAGCTGCCATTAGATTTTGCATGACTTTGAAGACTACATACTGTAACACATCTCATGACCCGTTACAACTTTACTGTTTACTACAATGTTTGTAGAATACTGTTTCTGTATGAAAATGCAAATTGTTGAGATGCATAAGGCATGTCAAAGCTGTGACATGCAGGTTATTTTTAGAGAGGAGTCCTTCCTGTTCTCAGACAAAGATGTGCTGCTGGTCCCCAGCAGCCCCCAAGCAGCACTGCATTTAGTTTCCTTCTACTACAGCTGCAAACTTTTTTCACTCCTCCACATGAGCTGCAACAGCCATGATAAAAAAGCAGATGCTCAAGCATCAGACTGAGCCCAATGGCAAGACCTGTTGCTTGAAATGTTGACTATATTAACTGAACCATCTGTAATTCACTGATGACAGTTTCACTGCAAATTGGATGTACAAATTTAAACTTTGTTTTTTTTTTTAATTTAAAATTTAAATTTTTAAATAATTTTTTAAATTTTAAATTATGTTTCAAGTTGAATCCCAGAAAGAAACTAAAACTGCTGAAATCCAACACAGTGAGAACTGAAATAGTTCTTATGAAATGGTATTCAGGTAACTTGAAGCCCTTTGCAATAAAGAGCCCTCCAAGGAAGAGGCTCTCTCCTAAGCACAAGGCGGTCTGTAAGACACCAGGAACCATTGCTATGCAACATGCAGCTACAATGTCCCCAAGAGCTTCCACTCACAACAGTGCAATTCTGTTTCCCACTATCTGAAATTCAGAACTGTATGAAGATTTGAGAAACTATCAAAGAAAATTATTGGAGGCTTTGACTACATCCACCCACAACAGGAGCAGTTGTGAGTGCCAACATAGCTTTCTCTTAAGACAAGTATTATATAAAATTTTAAAGTGGATGTGAAGCTTTTTCAAAAAGCATGTGTTAAGATAAAGCTCACAGTACTGCCTCAGCTCTTCCTCAGTGAAGACACAGCAAAGCTGTTTCTATTCGGCTTTTTGTTTCTTCTTCACAGCCTTCCTGCCCTGTCTGCACTGTGGTATTTAAACACTATTTTACTTTTCTCCTAGATTTTGCCAAAACACTCTTCAGGATCCTAACTCAAGAAGGTGGAACTGCTCTGAGGAATAGAGATATGTCCCAATTGAGAGATTAGAGTTTACAGGTCACAAACTTCACCATTACAACCAAACCAACAGGAAATGAGAATAAAAATATTTTTTTTCAGCATAGACCTTTATGCTTATCTCTTTTCTTACAGCTGTTTAGTTGTGGGGAAAAGTTGCAGCACTGAGTAATTGGATTCACAGTCAGATTAAAATATGTCAATTCTGAGCACTGGCAGTCACAAAAAAACCCCACTGAATTGAAATAAAAGTAGGGAGAGTAGAAAGGAGAGACAGCCTCACTTCACCCTCAAAACCTGTCTGAAGCTCTATGAAACTCAGAGGACAGCTGAAGTATATTTCTCTCCTTTTTAATAAGAAAACTCAAATTAAGAAGCACTTCAGCATTAAGGAAAAATAGGCTTAGGTGTGGAAAAACTCTTTATCAAGCTGTTGACAAAGGTAGGGAAACCATTAAAACCTACTATTCTGGAAGCATTCAATGATGTATTAATAGCAGCAAAACTCATCATACTGGAGCACCTTACAAGTGTCATGACAATTTACACAGGTAAAACATTCCGAGTTTTATTTCTAGAAAAATTCCTTTCCACAATAACTAACCAAAAAACCCAAAAACTTTTCAGCTCCTCTCCAGATACGTGCTGTCTCTTGATCATTTCAAGTTTCTAATGCTCATTTACCATGTCATAGTAAACTAAACCAGACTTTAAACCAATCCAGACTTTAAAAGACACAGTTAAAAAGGAAGCGAAAACAGGACATCTTCACAAACAAGAGAGACACAAAAAACCTGTGTTGACAACAGGAAAGTTGAAATAAGAAAAAGGCTACAAACAGATAACAATTGGAAGAAAACGGGCTGAAATTTTTAACAGCAAAGAGTGGAAATGTAAAAGGCTACACTACTATACTAAATCTTTACAAGTGGTAACACTGCTGAAGTGGCAGGAAAGGGAGAAGAAAGGTAAAAAATCTGCATTTATAGCTGTGATTTATATTTTTTGAAAACTGAACTGCTTTGTAACAACTGCTGTACTCTGATCACATTGTGCAAGGGAATGTTGATCACACTTACAAAGAAAAGCTTTGCCTTTAACTGGATACTTTACCATTGGAATGAACAAGCATTGCTAAGCTTGTTAGAATTCCAGAAAGTCAGCACTTTTGTTTCGATAACTGGGGATGAATTCTAGATATTTTACACATCCTTAAGAGACAAGGGGTGTTTTTGAGGCTTAACACAAATTGTGACAAAAGTCCAGATAGATACTAGCCTTTGTACTTCAAAAAGCAGACTGCCTCTCCCTCCTCCAGAATTTGTGTCTTGACTTAGTGGTCTAAGGATTAGTAACAAGCACTCAGCCATATGGCCTTATTTCACAATGCTCAGTCAGCTACACACCTCTTCTATCACTTCAGATATTCCTCAAAGTTAATGCCCCATTTGAAGGAATTAGGTGAAGAGGAAAATTTTATAAACAAGAACCAAATGTTATCAGGTATATTTTATTAATAAAAACCAATCCAGTATTCTAAGACCCATTAAGAAACATCAAGCTGCCTCACTTCAGAGATCAGCTACTGTAACATTCTTTAGACTACACAAAACTACACGCTGAATTTATTTGGTTTGAGGTTTCCAGCTCTGCTTCAGTAAGGCACAAAAAGCACCTGGAATGGTAGCACTTTGACTTCACTTCAGCTGATTATTCACTTTTGCTCCTTTTCTTGGCTCTTGAGAAAGCAAACAAAGTAAAGCAAAAATGCCAATTTGATCAAATGGAAGGATAACGAGAGTACGATTTACTACAGAACCTAAAAATGAAGATAACATCACTCTTAGCTATGCTTTAGGTACCTGAAGGATGAGTGTTCACCATGGACTGGCAAGGTGATGGGAGGAGCTGGAGACTGGATGTACATTGGCTGCCCAGATGTCTGTGCGCCCTTCCTGATCAGCTTTCCAGTGTTAGGATCATAAATCCGAACTTCAGGACCAGGTTGAGACTTCGGATGGATGGGTGTTGGGTGAAACAGAGCCTTCTAAAGCAGAAGAGGGAGATGGTTTGGAAAATCTCTAAAGAAACATTTCTTTTCCTCCACCTCATTAAAGTCTCACTGAATTTAAAACAGAAAACTGCAAATACAAGATAATGTCATGTTTAAATTACTAAAATATTAATAAGTGTGTCTTAAAAATGGACTAAACACTAAGTTACTGAAATGACTTCCAGGTAGTAACAACAGCAAAATTAGCATAGCAAGATGATAATCTACATATATGCAATAAAGAGAAAAGTAGGCTGTTGTATCAATCTTTCTATTTGCTCTCCAAATTTGCTCTGACAGAAATTAAACACATAGTATTAACTTGCAAATCATCCTAACTGATTTTTTAAAACACTGAACTGCCTATGATCACCCTGCTGCATTATAAAAACATAACTTTAGAAGTGTCAGCAGAAAGATTCAGAAATCAGTCTGCAGGACTCACAATTATGGGATTATTATATATCCAATTATGATGAAGTGTCACAAAAAAAAGGCAAGCAAATGGAATACTTTTAAAAAAATCATTGAATGTAACAGCCATGTTATGCTCCATGAAAGCAATAATATGTTAAAAAAAAGATTAATTTAATTTGTAACAAATATTAGAAGCGACACAAAACTGGAGTTTTTACCAGATGCTTTTATGGATGTTTCTGAAGTAGTTTTGTAGCAGTTACACAGCAAACCAATTCCAAGTTTACCTATTCTTTTCTTGCTATCTTAAGTTTATTTTACATGCAAATGTTTTCTCAGACTTCTCCCCTCCCCCAGTTTGTAAGTGCTTTGGACTTGTAATCACTATTTCAAGCAGCTTCATTAAGGAGAAAATCTCTTCCAAAGTTTGGAAACTTTTGCATGTTTTGGGTTAAAGTATTTGCATTAAGATAGATATCTTGCCAACTGAAGCTTGGGTGGGGGAAAATATGAAGTTAAGATATACTGTATTTGAAACACAGAAATAGGTAAAATTATCATGTTTCTGTAAAACGGAAGAGTAAATTAATAGAGGGAGGAAGATTAACATTCATCTAGACATCAAAAAACAATGTTCACAAGCCAGGTTTCAACTGCAAACTTAGCAGTGCCAGGTCTCTGAGACAAATTAAGCATCCCGTGCAAATATTCCAAAGTTTGATTAAAAAACATCTGATAGTATTTTTTAAAGACTAAATATCCTAGTCAAGCCATAAGCAGGCTACATGTCTTTTCCTAACTTATAGGGATCCTATGTCTCAACCTAGTATCACATTTGATGAATGCCCTCACTTCCACATGTTTCCCTCTTTTGCTATCTTCAAAGGGCATCTTGTATGTAGAAAGTAAATCTCTATTACAGTCAATCCCACCAGTATCAGTTTAATTATGCTGTGCTCCTTCCAATCTAAATGTGGAAGATCCTCTGTTAGGCTTGCAAGATGTTTCAAGCTGGCTTGGCAGTACCTTGTCTTGAGTTACTTTAGCCATGCCACTATCCTGCAGGGGACTGTTAACTGATAGCTGTCCAACTTCCTCTTTGCTGATAATGTTTTTGCCTGCCTCTTCTATTTACTGTCACCCTAATGCACTGATTATTTTTTACCTTTTCTCTTTCAGCACTTTCTTATCATCCCAAAACCACCTCTCACTACTTCCTTTCTTCCAGTTTTTGCTTCTATCTTCATGCCTTCCAATTCTTCTTAGAATTTCCTATGGCATTTTTCTGTTTCTCTCTTTCTCATCACTACCAAATTTCACCAAAAATGCCATACTTTACTAGTTCTTCACATAGTCTAAGTATGTATATTTTTTGGCAACATGAATGATCCCGTGCCTTGATGGCATTCCCTGTGTTAGCGTAGGGATGAACTGAAAAGGGCAACTTCTCCAAATTAAAAGAGTAACAACTGTAACTGCTCAAGAAACTAATGTTATTGCAACTGTTACAGTCAGTTTTCTCCTGACTGTACTAGTTAATAAACTGCCTTCTGATCCCTTGATAGTACTCAGTTTAAGCAAAAAAAACCTGGACAAAAACAGGGAGCTCTTCCATAGAATCCATAAGCATTGCATGTCCATTCTGAACTTGTCAGAAACCAATTTATTAATAAATCAGCATGACTATACGAATAATCTGTCTTCATGGCCCCTATTGCCTCAAGGAATAGCACTTACCTGTGTGTTTTGATGTAGTCATCCTTTAAGGGAAAGAGCTGTTCCTCAACCTTGTCCCAGCGCTCCAGGCAGCTCCACAGCCAATCAGGGTTTACAACATGGAGATCCTTGCAGTCCTGAGCTTGCCTTACTTTTTCTGTGCCTATTACAGAATCAAAAATAACAGTGTTCCCACAAACACAAAATATAAACTAGTGTGTAGTTAAAACTAGAGAACATTTTGTCATCAATTGAAAAAAAAACAAACAACAAAAAAGCAACACTCCTCCCCAATGCAACAAAAGAAAACAATCACAGCTAATAAAAGTGAGAATCTAAATGAGATGCAGTACCTCAGACTCAAGCTAGGTGAAGGTAACTTTCTGAAGAATTGGCACCACAAAAGGAGCCCACTTAGTTTTAAACAGAAAATCTCTGCATCTTCTCTGCATGTTAGCCCAACAAGCAACAAGTGCACTCTTGTATAACGTCTCCTTCACTTATATTTGTTAGCAGTCCTAGAAGAAGCAGCTTTTCAATGCTGTTGAAGCCTGACTAACTTATCATATTAACTTTTTTACACATGGTCCCCTGTTCATATAACATGCTACTTCTTAACAAGCTGTCACCCACTCAACCTCCACATACCAGAAGTGGAGGCAAAGCAGCCAGAATTCCTTTGTACTGAAACAGGAACAAGGAATGTGAAGTTAAACATGGCAGGCTGACATGCCTGATGTGAAACCATCAACAGTGCAGCTTGCAAGTAGCAGGTGATCTCAAATTCTACCCTCTCGGGATACCAGAACAAGAGAGAAACTCAGTAAAGTTGCTATAAATCTGCCAAAAAGCACCAAAATCAGTGCTGTGGTTTAACCCCAGGCACTCGTTGACCCCTCCAAGCACCCCAGTGGGATGGGAAGGTGAATCAGGGAAAAAACATTAACACTAGTGAGTTAGCAACAGCTAATGAAACGAAGTAAAATATAATAATACTAAAAATATAAGCCCTTGTCTGTTTTCACACATGTGAGAACAATGAAGCCTCCAGAAAGGAAAAAAAAAAAAAAAGTTTCAGAACAATTCTGACAAGGAAGCAAGAACAGTAAATTAATTTGATGTTTTCATCACAGTTCCCTGGAGTTTCATCTTCATGAGTGTGATTTAACAATCTGATTTTACTTGTTTCAGTTTAAATGAAAATCTTGTACCCATACTTCTCCACATAATTTGAAGATGAGATGAAGCAGCTAATCTCAAATATTTAATACCCTTTGTACAACCTGAACTACAATCAACTGGGGAAGACAGATGAACTGAAATGCACTTGAGGATTGACCTAACCAGCTGGTTAGACAGCTCAGTTTAACACATCTGTAAGATAAAAAGACTAAACAAACAGAAAGGGCAGAAGATAATTGTCCTTTATCAAACTGCTGGAAGCCTCTATTTCCCTACTCTTCATCCCCCCAACCCCAATGGCATACAGGAGCAGGGCTACATTTTTCTCTAGATACACATATGTTTTTTCTTGGATTTAGATTAACAGACAAAAAATGTTGTGTGCACAAATACATTTCTTCTCTCAGCTGTAAATGCAACCAATTGCACAGTTCGGGATGTAAGAACTATACATATAAAGCTTTACTCCACACTAGTATCATTGGAAAAAAGAAAGTTAATTTAAAGTGAAAATAATTTTAGAACTGAAACAGCGCTAAACCTAGCACACCTTTGCCGTTCAAGAGGTTTTAACTGGCTAAAACATAAAACCCTAATAAGGGAGGGAGGTAAATGTACTCCCCGAAATCATACATGCCCTGATTTAAGAAATCTGTTTTCCCATTAATTATCACTTACAAAAGCAACTGAGAGAAATTTAATGCAACATGTTCTGGAAATAAGCCAGTTTACAGTGCCAGAAGGAGCTCTGACTGGAGGTATTATTAATATTTAATTAACCTCAATAGGAATTGTAGAAATACCTGCAGTCAGAAACAGTTATGTATAAAGCTGTAGTTAATTTATAAACATGGTATATTTGAGGAAATAAAGCAAAGGTTCTGAAAGAGAATCAGTTTAAGAGATCTGGGAAAAAAAAGATTGAAGGAGCTTAAGGCTTAGCTTGGACATTGCTTTCTTTTGAGAATAAAGGAGAAAAGGAACAAACCAGTAAGAAGACTGCTGTTACAAAGAGGATGCTAAAATCAGGTTCATAAGCATAGACCAAAAAAAAGCAACAAGAGCAAGAAGTCTAGTAGAAGTTTAGGTACCTGATCCAGGTATTAGATACTGAATCAAATATCAGACACAACTAGCAATACTGTCCTGAACATAACAGCTCTGGAGCTGACTCAATACCACACACAACAGCACTGGTTTCACCAGTGAGCACACACAACAGTTAATCAGAGCTGGTGATGCTGTTGGATAGATGGGACTATGCTGCTCCTTTTGGACTTCATCAGGGAAACAGTGACAAAACTGTAAAATTTCACCTTCACCTCATGTTAAATCTGTGAAGTTACATGAGGAGATGGGCTTCTCCAACTGTTTTTCACACTCATGTTTCTGCACTGATATCAGGTGTTTCATCTTGCTACTCCTTCCTCCCCACCCTCACACTGTGCATTCACACATATGTGATTGGTTTCATGCTGGATGTATACTGAGGAGCTATGTAAATTCTTCTAGCTGACAGGATTGTGACAGAAAACTTAAACATGAAAGCCAAAATAGCACAATTTTGTATGAAATTGCTACTGAAACTAGATGGCCTTTAAGGTCCCTAACAACCTACATGTTCTAAGATTCTGTGAAAGCTGGTAACGCAGACTTGTGTGTAACCAAACCCACCTCCCAAGAGTCAAAAGTCTTACCTTTCTCACCTCCATGACATCAAGGTTTTCTGCCTCCTACCCCTTTCTAAAGTGCAGCAGCCTATTGCACGCTCCAGCATACTGAAAACTGCATGAGGGAACACAACTGTGTCCTCTTGGGGAGGCCTTCCTATTTCTAGCTGACATCTTCACAAATGAAGATTTCACATGTATAATGTACTTAAAGCAACATTTGGTGAAACACCAAATTGAACTGGAAGGAGAAATAGCACTATGATAATGTTTGCTGTCTCTTCTCCCCAGTTTAACTTCTTTTTGAATTATGCTTGTTAAGACAAAACAGCAAAAATATTTTAATCCATCCAAGCAACAGTACTTCTGTCACAGCTAAAAACGTCTGAATTACTCAGCTAAGCTGAAAATCACTTAGAGAAAAACTGATTTTCCAGACTACCTTTTTTGCATTATTGCCATCTAATCACCTTTCCCTACTTCAAATTCTAAAGTTGTTCCAAAAAGTTTAAAAGGTAGAGAAGGTTTTCCACATGAAGAAACTGGTGCCAAATTCATCACATCTACTCTGATGGATACAGTCTGAAGCAGACAGTATCAGAAAATGTTATTTTCAAAGCTGGGGAAGGTGCTCATCGATTCTGCTTCTGAACTTGCTGAAAACAGTGATCAGCCAACTGTGGCCTCTGATTCAATCTCACCCATGAGGAACTCTGCAAGTGCTCAAGGCTGTGCCAGGACTAATCAAAGCACATGATGGGGAGAAATCACCATCAGCGCTTGCAGAACTCTCTCCTGATTCCAACACTCCAAAATCAACATATCCTTATTGCAGTTTGCAACCAGACATTGCTCGGGAAATATGACCACTAAAAGTTTCTTTCTCTTCAGATAATCTTTATATACAGATCTTGATCAAATCCTGAAGCTCTTCTACAAAAACACCAACCTGAAACAAGTGACAGATGTGCTGCTCTGAAGCTATGCCTAAAGTTCAGATTTAACTCTGCACTGTGCTTTACCAACAAAAGCAACAGGCTTACCTGCTCAGTGGCCAAGTTTAGAGCAATGCTTAACCCATTTTTTTAAAAAAAGACTCAGCCCTTGAACATACTTTTCAGGGAAAAAGCTCTGTTGACACACCACAGGCATAGGAAATGGCATGGACTCAAGTATATTTTGAAAAATAAAAGAAAAATCTGGGGCCTAAATGGATGTATTTCCATTCCTAACACACTACAATAATTTTTGAGAGATCTGAATAGCTCTATCTGCTCCACCAGCAAAAACTCAATACAAGAATCAACTACAGTGTCTTTCATCTGTTCAGGAAGGAACATAAGATTTATGAAACAGTGTGATAACTGCTTAGCCAAGTGTGTACACAGCTATAAAAACTCATAGTGCAGTTTACTGATGCTTAAAGCAAACAGCAGATGTTTCAAAATCTGAAACAAGATTTATGTAGCCCATGGACAAGCGGAAAGGACTATAGGATAGCCTTTTCTCAGTCACTCAGATTTATGAAAGCTGATTAGATGATGCAAAGATCCAGTATTTTACAGTAATTCAGTAATACAGCAGACAGTATTTTCTGCCCTATATAATGAAAAAAGTCCTACTTTTTTTCAAGAACAAGGATTTATTTAATTTCAGAATTCAGAGTACCTGTGTCTACAGGGAAACAGCCTATCTGCAGAGAAAGAGAATAGTATATATAAAGAATAAAAGAAATTTAAATTATTTACTCTAACATGTTGGGAAGAATGCTGTAAAAACAACCTAAAATGTTTCTCAGTAGCTGCTCATGTCAGTGCACCAAGCTATGATGAAGTCACTTTGCAGGGGAAACCCCATCACTACCACACCTAAGGGGTAACTCTTGTTTCACACTGACTTCTTCCCTTTTACTTCCTCTGCCAAATTCTTCCTTTGACTTCAAAAAGATAAAGCTAATAGGATTTACCCCCAATCACTGCTGCAGATCAAGTATGTGGCTTTCCTTACATCTCAGCTAGTGCAAAGTAAACATACACATTCAGCTGCTTGTCAGAGTCCCAAGTCTGCCGCTGTTAATGGTGTCACCTAGAAAGACTTTGAACTAAAAGGTGCTTTAGAATCACTTTTCACAAACACATTAAAAAAAGAAAAAAAAAGATAAAAGTACAGATAACAATGTTGCCTGGTCTCATGTCACTGACTTCTGAATAAAACTCAAGAAGGGACATGCTTTTGTTCCCCCTTTTCACCAGCAATTAGACATCAAGCAGTGCTTCAGATTTTTGCCATGGGAGCCAAAGATACAATGTTTGTATGGCTTATTGTCAGGAGGAAGCTTGTAAAAATTTCCTCTCTAACCATAAAGAATCACTATGAAAATCACATTGACAGATGAATTAGCACAAATGCAGCTGTGACAGGACAAAATTTATATCCTTAAAATCTCTGATTAAGAAGTTTCCTTCATGAAATTGGAACAATGCAGCACAACTATTCCCACCTTCCAGAGGTGAGAATAATAGCCTCAAGTTGAAAAAAACCCAAAACCCCATCACAAAAAACAGAACCAGTCAATCCAAGGATCTTACAAAGGGTTATTGAAGAATACAGTTTTATTCACTCTAAATCCTTTTATTTCATTGTCATTGTTACAGAAATAATTATTAAGTGATGATGAAAAATGACAATGGCATTGCCCATTAGGTAGAAATGACTTCCAATTTACCTCATCTAGAATTAGCGCAATATGCAATTTAATAAAAAAACAAAATAGTTTTTCATATTCAGATGTACTTTAGTATGATTCACTAAGAATGTGGAAGTGGCAAATAATTTACTTATAAAAATAGAACATAAGGATGCATAGATGCATTTACATAAACACAGAACCCTCAAATGGGACATTCCAAAAAACCCAAATAAAAAGTCAACTGCTTCTCATTATCACATGATGTGTACCTTAATGTGCTCTTCAACACCTTTCACTCTAGAGAAATATATGTATTTTTAGGTCTCATTTATATTTACCCTATCAATTTTACCCCATCACACAATTTATATTCAGAAGTCATCTAGTTTAAGACAAACAAAGCAACTTCTAAATGAAGCATTTTAAGTTTTGAAATTGGAAAAACATTTCTTATATTGATGGCTATTATGTCTCCAATGAAGTATGATGAACTTGCATAATTTCTTGCTGAAATAAGTATTACTATTTATGAAGTTTTTAACAGCTGTTCAGCAACTGTGGTAAAACAATGGAGTCCCAAATTGATGCACCCATTGATTTCAAAACTTCACATTCACTGCTGCAATTATCACATATTCACAACCCAGAATCCCAGCTAATTTCAATGCATCTAATTCCATCTCCTGAGCTTTAGGTTGTTTTTACTGCTAAAATGTCTATCTCCATTTATATCATATGCTTTTACAACTTAAAGGCCTCTCAATACACACACTTTTGAGGAAAGTACCCTCTCTTTAAAATGCAAGCCAATGAAACCAAGCTGCTTCTGATGTACTAAAACTCCACATGAACAGCAGTCAAAAAAGAAAACATCCAGTAGGTGGCAGATAATGTATTTCTTTGTTTATGACATGAACATGCATGTATGTTTATGACATGCTTCGGCATGTTCTAAAAGTACCTGTAAGTTTCAGATAATTTAAAACATGCAGTTTTTACTTTTGGATTTCATGGGTTTGACTATCAGGTATTTAGATTCCATGTAATTTCCAAAAGTCAAAAAACCATCCTTCAGGGCGCACCGAAAAAAAAAAGTGTGCTAGAAGCCAGAGCTGCTGACTGGTATCTCCTCTATGGCAGCTACCAATGGTACATTCCTATCCATTTGCTATGAAAATTTCCTATCCACAGCTATGAAAAAACAGGCAGCTTTGTCAAACACAACCTAGAAGTTATGCAAAACTCTCTTACATTTCTTTTTGACAAAACAATACAGGCTAAGCACAGTGCAGCAGCAGGGTATTAGCAGTCTCTTAAAATAATTTGTTTGAATTCCATACCAAGTGAAATTGAACCACGAGAGGTGAATCTGAAAAACTGAGAAAGAGAGGACTGCTATACCTTTATAGCAAGACAACCTTAAACTTTTCTTTGACACAAATATTAAAAATTTATATTCAACAACTTTGAGTCTTTGACTATTAGTATCACCAATTCTTAACAAAAAACTGAGACATGACACATTACATCAGAGGATATTTAGTGGGTTCTAATTTTAACAATTAAAAGTCACATTTGAGCAAAAATAAGAGAACAATCCTTTTAAAAAGGCTGCTAAATTTTTTTAGGAAGAATCTTTCCTTTGATTTCAGTTCTAATCTCAGCTACATTAAAGTCTGTAGATTATATAAAAGAGCTCAATGCATGAACTCTAACAGACTAAAAGCTGCTCAAATACCTACCTGTCCTTGCAGCAATAAGATGTGTTGCCTTATCAGGATCATCAGCACCCAGTACGAGATTCTTCACAATTTTAGCTCCAAGTGCTGTGGCATGATAGTGTTCCCGTGTCTTTTCAATAGGGAAGTTTGTCGGGTAAAGTCCACTAAATATTATGGTTACATCTGCCAAGACTTTACTTTTTAGTTCTGGTACTATTTTTCTGATGTCTGGAATTTCTTCAATCTCTTTTTTCAGGTATTTATCATACTTTGTGTAATAATCAGTGTGAACTCGCACAAGTATCTCCTCGAGGTATATTAAATGGTCATCGTCATCTGTATCATCGTCCTCCTCTTCTTCCTCCATGCTCTGGTCTAAGGACTCACCCATTGTAATTCCAGACTGTTCACTAATCTGAGATTCTGTTTCAGCTTCTTTCTTGTCTCCAGACCCATTTCCTAAATCACAAAGGCTTTCCTGTTCACTTTCCTCTTGTGCTTCAAGATCAATTTTGTCCTGAATATTTTCACTAGGTAAAGACTGTGTGTTTTCAGAATGGTTCACCAGACCATCCTTTTCTGCACTCGCATCAGTGCAACTCTCCTGCTGCAAATTTTCATCCTGTGGAGGTTGTTCAGATTTCTTCCAACTTCTCTTTTCCTCATTCTCACTATCTGATACAGAAGTGGATGACTTTTTGGTATCCAATCCATCATCACTTTCACTGTCACTAGACAGTTCAAAGTCCAAGTCATTTGTCTTCTCTTGGGTTTGCTGCTTCTCTCTAACTGTTGTATCAACTTGTTCTGAAAAAATCTGAGCATCTTTTGTATTCGCCAAATCATCAGTGACCTCACTGTCCATTTTGTGACTATCATTTAAGGAGTTCTGGGCATTAACTTCATCATGAGAGTTCACATCCCCATCAGATGTTTCACTCCTTACAGAAGTACTCCCATTTGCAGTGCAAGTGTCCTTTGCAGTTTTCTTGAGACCGTTACTGTGCTCTTCTACACAAATAACATTCTTTATTTCTTCAACATCTTTTGCTGAAATCACTGTCGAATCCAATGCCTCAGATTTTGTAGAGTTGTTTGCTAAGACATGGACAAGAAAGAAAACATACACATATTTTCCCTTTTTTGTCTTTTTTTGATATTAACCAAGATTTTATTTTCATTTACCTTAAACACTGAATTTACACATGGACTTAGATTTCATTATGCTTAGAAGTGATCACTAGGCTTTTGAAAGTTATTAAAATTCTCTAGGTGCCAATGATTGCTAGAAAGGACTGTCAAACCTAACAAACATTACTTTTGTAAGGAAGTTGTAAAGAAAAAAAAATAAGCTGCTTATATATCACAGGTCATAAGTAATTATTTGTTAACTCTGCAAGCATTGAAAGATTTATCTTGTAGTGTAAGTTTTATGATTACAACTTAGAGCAATGAAAATAAACGAATGGGGGTACACGGGCAGAATTTGCTTCATAAGGTCCTAATCCAGAACTACAGTATAAGAACTTTATAAATAAACAGCTGTATCTTTCATGTTACCTAATTTTCAAAACAAAATAACTCAATTTTAGTCCTTGAAAAGATACATGTATTTTACAACACAAATATGCCATTCAAGCCCAATTTAAGACTACGGGAATGCAAGTAAAAGGGTAATACTCAAAAGCAGCAAAATAGTTTTAGGATGTGTCTGCAGAAGTAGAGATGCAATTAAACAAACCACAGACTTCCAAAACTTTGCACACAAACATTCACTGGAACGCTGTGTGAAATCATGCTACTTTGTCTCCCTTTTGTGTGCATGTTCCTGCACAGCAAGTAACAACAGGAGTCAAGTGTAGTGGTCCCACATCACAGTGGCCCACAGTGGCCCGATTCAGGTTGATTATACTATTTCTGTTGTTGTATTGGTCACTTCTATTTCAACAAGGGAAAGAGAGAAATGTCACAAGTATTAAATTAAAAAAAATCCAAACCCCTGGCTAAACAGGAAAAAACCTGACAATTCTTTCTTATGACATTGTGTTTCAAATACATTTTCCCCCCAAATAATTCCCAATCTAGTAATGCGTACTTTCTAAATTCATTGTGTGTTCACTGCTGAGCCTGCTGAACATAAGGTTCTTGTGTCAAATGCCAGAACACCATGTTCACTAGGTGGTAAAAATTCACACTAATTGTATTAGCACAATTCAGACTGGGAAGCAAGCTGATTTCAACATTAATTTCCAGCAGTGTGTTGAGGACAGAGTTTATTACCTATTCCTCCAAGTCCCAAGGGCAAGGAAGGGGACTGAAGAGGTGAAACCTATAGAGAAGAAAAGTCAGCATGCTGTACATGGGGGTGTGATGGAGAAACTGTCCCCATCTACATATTCTTGAACAGTTTGGTGCATTGTCAAGTCAGCTCTGAGCCACAACATTTATTACTCCTTCACTTCTGCTCTGGTTGAAAGGAACTCTCACAGTACAAACAGTCTAGTTTTACCAAGCTACTCACATTTGTGCTGTCAACTTCAATAATCTGAGATTGCCCGTCTGAGCACCATTGCAATATTACTAAGACCATCTCAGTGACTTACATCAGCCATGTTTGAAAAGTGAACAAAGTTATAAACACAGTTTAAAAACAATCTATCACCTTTCTTCTTCATTTGCATTTCTCTTGATCCAGGAGGTGCATTAATATCTCCTATCCCCTGAAAGTATACATATTTCTTCACAGTTATCAAATTGGGTGCAAACTTCCAAACATCCTCTCTATCATCAATGATGCAAACCATGGAATCTCCACAAGGAAAGAGATCTCTAAGAGACAAAATAGGTGATAAATTAAGCTAGTTTTAGAAATTTATATAGTAATGAAAGCAATTTCTATTGATGCTCTGGTTTATTAAGAACATGTCTCCAGAACATGGAACTTACAAAAGAAACTTACAAAAAGTCAGCAATATTAAAATTATGGAATTTAAAATACAAGCTTTGAACAAATTACAGTTAGTGGAAAAAAAGGAAACAGCTGTTTTGAAATCTGCATCCCAAAGGCTAAAGGTAGAAAACAAGAAATCTCTGCGAGAACAAACAATTACAACATTTCATTCTAGTTTTCACTGGTTTTTGTCAACCAACAGCCCAAAGTCAACTTCCACAAGGTAAATACACTACCTATATATAGATAGGTAAAAGACAGAAGAAGAGTTTTTAAAGAGTAAATTCATTCAGTCCAAGATAAAGGAAATAGAAGTACTGACATCACCCATCACCTAGGAGGAAGAGTACTTAAGAAGCACATTAAAAAAAAAAAAAGAGCAAGAAAAGAAAAAAGCTTCTCATTTGCTACAGTCAGGTGTGGAGGGGGAGTAACTTTTAGTATTTCATAAAGTTGCATTAAACATATCTGTCTCAGAAAAAATCTTGGGTTTATGCTCTGAAAAAGATCAGAATGTGAATTTAGACTAGAATATGAATTCAAGGCTCTAGATGACCTAATTTCAAGAAACACTAGGAACAGAAGGTGCTTTTAGCACATTTGAAAGCCAGAATACTAGGTATTCAATTACGAATTAAACTCTGAGAATTTTGGTTTAATTAAAAAATCCCCACAATATAAAAGTCTATATACAAGATCACAAGATAAAGTGAAAATATGGTTGTTATTACAAGAATAAGAAGTGAAAAACATGATGCCATGGCATCACACTTACTGCTCTGCTACCACAGAACCCCTTAAGTAGAAGGAATGCTGCAATGCCCAACACACCAGTTTTACTGAGATGGTGTTGATATTTAAGAGGCACACAAAGAAGGAAATAAACACATTAAGTGCAGAGGGAGTAATTTTTATTTTATTTAGCGTCTTCTCCTCTGCTGTTCTGTTTTGTATAATGCCTAAAACCCATATACATACCTAAGATTCCCAGTTTTAGAAAATGGATCGATACATTCATCCCTTGACAATATCCGATGGGAAAAAAGCTTCTTTTCAGGGTCCAAAAATCCTTTTGGAAGAAGAAATTAAAAAGTTATGTTCAAGATGTTTGTTCCTTGCTTATGTTTTATATACTTCTGCTACTTTAATTCGTGCAACAGCAGTTTAACAGACAATTTTAAGGCATGAGATAAGATGGGAGAAACAGTGGATCAAGTATTTGTAGCTAATTCAGTGAGATTAATTTAAAAATTCCATCTAATTTTCTTTCAAGATGGCAACAAAACTGAATTTGTGACAGCCAAATTAATAAGGCTGAAAGAGATACAGCAGGTGACAGATACATGGTTTTTGCAACTTACATTTATCTCTCTATAGTTGGGACTTTAAAGCTAAATGCTCTCCTTAGCTCATTATGCCTAGGGACTGCAGAGAAGTCTCACAAGAGTCGGCAATGTGCTGCAATATTTAAGCACAGTAGGAAGTTAAGGAACAGTTCCAGCCGGAGCTCTTGCATTTGTAGGTTTTAAGTTGTACCTCTAACAACTACTTCAATACTTTACACACAATGAATATATCCTGGGACTTCTAGAAATACTGAGGCCCAGTAGAAGTAACGGTTCTGACTGTGCTCTTTCAAACAAACAAACAAATAAACAAAACCCCCAAAACCAAAACAGAAGCTGTGCCAGCTGATCTTAAAGCAATATAAAGTGCTATTTAGGAAAATGATGACTTGGGTGTACAAACACACATGCACATGCTTCTGAACCTAGTCTCCAATAATGAAGTTTACCTTCATGAACAGATCACAGCCACATTAGTTGCTTAGAAAGAAACTGGCATACTACATGCTAACCTGTATTTTTTGTTGTACTGAATTTGTACTGAAGTTAGTATCAACTTCTCATTATTCTTATGAATAATACAAAGCAGTCAATACTTACTTGGGAACCATCTTTTCAAGTTTTACTGCCTTTTACTTTAAATGATGGCCATATTATAATCAGAAACAGAATCCAAAATGACTACAAACTCCATGGAACAAGTTTAATTTTCTTTCAAGGAGCTCACACTTGCACAGAACTTATGTTCAAGTCCTTTTAACAGTCCAGCTCCCAAGAGTACCTTAAGGTGGGAAAACAAAGCTTTAAAAAAACTAAAAAAATCAGTCATCACTTCTGAAAGTTGATCCTGCATGTAATTAATACTGATGTGTAATTGGAATAACTTAAAACCCATAAAAGCAAGAAAATTCTGAGTTAAGGACAGAGGTTCAACCTTAACTCACCCGACTATGCTTAAGAATTGCTGCAAACTCGTAGAATCATCCCCTGTAGTGAGACCCTTGCAGTACCTAGGCATAATGAATTGAGAGAATTAGCTACACAGATTTATTGCTGTACACACAGATACTTTGCCAAACTACAAAAGCTGTCATACAAGTTGCTGTTCTCCCCAACAAAATTCTCTTCTGCTAACTGTCTGAATACACAGGAACTCTCTACATTGAATTAGACAGAAGCGTACTGATTACATGGCAAAACTTCACTGAGGCACTCAGTTGCAATGTTGCCGAGCTGACCCTATAAGAAAAATGAAGTTGAACTAAAAAAAGTCCAAATGCAGAAAGCCTGGCTGCCAGGGATTACAGATAAGGTAGCATTCCAAAGCTTCACAGTAATGAATGAATTTGCTAAACTAAAAATACACTGAGGACACAGCTCATCAAAAAATCCATCTGCAAAGATACAAGCCCACCTTAGGAGAATCTGAAGCTAAGCTACCTGAGTAACAGCACAGAAAACAGCACTGCTCTCTTTTTAGAAAATTCTTTCCAGGTCAAACTGGTTTCTTTTAGATGTTCCCTAGTCAACTAAATCAATATAACAAACAATTTGACATTTTCACATCTCAGGGAAAAGGTGGGTAACATTTCATTCATCATACACCATCTGTTTTCTTTAACACACCAGGCATCCACCAAAGCCACTCTCTCACTCTTCTCTGCTGCTGGACAGGGGACAGAAAATATTATGAAGAAAATATTATGAATATTATGGGTTGAGATAGCGACCAAGAGACTGGGACAAACTGAGCTGACAAATTGAGCTCCCACTTAGTCTCACAAATTAGGCACTGTGCTAGGTATGCCCCTAAGTTTCTTGAACAAACTGAAGACATCATTATTATCCTTCACCATATTACGAAGGACTATCCAGCAGACTCACCTAGCAGTTGTTTCCCATTATCTCAGACTGGCTCTTTGCACACAGACTTACCAAACTGTATTGCCTGCTCCTACATAGACTCTCTTAAAAAAGAAAAGTCGTAAATAAGTAAAAACTAAGTTAAAATCATCAGAAGATACAATGCTGAAAAATTAACTCATTCTGGGGATGTCTCAAATGTTAAAGAAAGAATGAGTTAAACAGCAGTTCCCAGGAGAAGTTATGTAACAGTTGGAACCAACATTAATTTGAGTGAGTTGTTTTATGAATAAAACTAAAACTGAATTTCTGAAGAATCAGGTTACCTTCAGTTCTACTTGAGATTCTACTTTACAACCCAGAAAGAGCTGTTGACCCCATCTTCTAAAAGTTGGAACAACTTCAGACACTGGTGATTATACACACACACTGTACACGTTCTGTAATATACTTGCTGTAACAAACCATATATATGCATGCTCTCAACTTGGTCCTACTTTCTAAATTTCATTGTAAATCTGGAGTGATTTCACATTGCTTTACTATTGCTTAATAGCTTCTGAATTCAAAATTCTCTGTAGCACTTTACAACTAGCTTTTAAGCTAGCATCGGCTTTAAATATACCAAACTTCTCTTATAGAGAGCAGAAAAAGAAATTAAGCAACAATTGCTGAAAAAAATTATTTAGTAGAGAAACACTCCAGGGAGCTCTAGATGATAAAATCCAAATCTCATCTTCATAAACATACTACCAGATATCACTTTGTAAACATGTCAAACTAAAAAAGAGTTTAGGATAAATTATTTCAGCAGATATAAATGGTGTTTACAAATATCAGCTAATCCCACTTAACAGATGGCAAGAGTCAGCTGAGATGAGAGAAAAGAACTGACAAGACGTCATCTCTTTTCAAAAGCCTTCTAGGACATGAAAGGAGCAGCTCAGAGTTCAGAATTCACAAAGATATATTCCTATATATCTATATATATGTCTACCGAGGACCTAAGCAAACAACCTTTTTCTCATAAAAAAGATCCCCAACATTTATTACAAGTTCTTTCTTTATGTAACATAGGAATAACAATAAAGTATCAAACTGACAGCTCTGTGAGAAACCTTTTAACCAATACTGCCATCAAGTGTTCTCTATATGCATCAGCTATGTATTTCTCTAGAACTGCATCTTGGCTGCACGGGTGGACCAAAGGCTGTACCCTGTGTTTGTCCACAGATTTCAGCTGAAACGATCTCCAGCACTGCACAAATAACCCACCTGCAGTTTGAATGATTCTGATGAGGTTAAAAAGCTTCAGGCAGAAATCCTGAAGTCTGCAGGTGACAGGAAGCAGCAATACCCTAATTTGCTAATTTGGTGGCTATTCCTACTATGGAATAAGTGGGGTAGTTTGAGTATGACGACCTCAGTGTCAGCCTGTGGCAGCACAGGGATTGCAGGGTAATCCACACTAGGGCTCAGAGACTAAAATGGGCAGAGGACCAAATCACACATTGAGAGAAGACAGGGAAAGCAGTCAGACATTGTGACTTTACCTCTGCAACTTCTCCCTGGTTCTGAAGGCCATTTAGCATAAAGCTTCTGACCTTGGGCCACATCAAGGCACACAGATCCAGGTGTGGAAGACTGCCTTCTCAGTTTCTGACTACCATGTATTTAAACCTAGTGCTTAAGAAAACTATTCCTCTTTTGCCACAGAAGATAAAAATACATTCTAAGGACAGAAAGGTACAGAATTATTCATGCATTAGCAATATACAACACTTAATCCAACAGCAAGACTGACAAAGCTTTAGGAAGATTCATCAAACTATGCTCAAAGACTGAGTGACATAGAAACATTCACTTGGACTGGCAGGACAGGACATGCCACAAACCTTTCAAGGAGTATTAGCTGGACACCACAAATAAGCATCACATTATGACTACAGAAATATTGTATGTTGTCATTCAGAAGTCTTTATAACTGTCATTACAAGCCTGTTCTACAGCATTTAACATGCACAAAGAATTGTTTGATTATATATTTTTTCTAAAGTGTTTTAGAGCTAACTAGGATAGCTAGCTCTCAAACTATTTTGGAATCTCCCCTTCTTGCCAAGAAGTGGGATTTCTGGGACACTGTTGTTCAAAACACTCCAGGCAATATGACAAAAAAAAGCAAATGTGAAAGACAACTTAATAAAAAGCTAGAAGACATGGAACAGCATGATGGAACGTGGAACAGTTTGACAGAGTCATTATCTAAAGTACTGTTAATTATATTAACATATTGTCTTAGACCAACAGATTTGATGAAGGGAAGTTTGAGGGGAAAATGCTCTTCTGACAGGAAAGACTAAAATTGGCTTTTACCCCATCTTGATAGTTTAAACACATGGCGTCCATCTTAACATGATTCAGACCCATACACTTGCATAAACAGGGCAGATTTCTTTTTGCTTCTCAGAAAAAAGAAAACATTTCAACCAGTGACCCACACAATAGACTTCTACTGTTATAATTCAAATACAAGTTTTCACTCAGTCGTGAATTTAAATTCTTGAGAAAAATATGTGAAAATAACTGCTATTTCTGTTCATGAAGTAAGTATACCTCATCTCCATGGCACAAACAGAAATGCTGTAAATTGATTTATAGCAGCAGAACTTTCTTTGGTGAAAGGAAACCATATGGGGGGTGGCATTCCCCACATGACGAGATGGTGTCACGTTGTTGGAATTTTATGGAATAGTCACATTAGATTTGTAAGAGAAGTGAAGTTGCAGGTTATTGTTAGGGTCCATCAACAGAGCAAAGCACATCTGATGGGGAAAAAAAGGATTATTTCCAAAATTACAGGCCATAGAGGCACTGCCTTGTAAACAAGCTAAGAATTCTGCTTACAGGACTGTTTAGGAGGTGTCTTTGCACAAAACAAAGAACAAATACTTGAAAACAACTGCATAAAGAAAATTAATCATATGAGTACGAAGGCAGGGTAGTTAAATACTGTTAAATGTAACATACTACTCACCTGCAATTGTATGTGCATACAGTCTGCTGCCAAAAGTAAAAACATGTAATTCATAGAGCTTGGCAATTTTTTCCAGGAACTCCTTGCAATGAGGACGCAAACGTGTGTGCAACATAGGCTCACCTCGACCTAACTGGAAATGAAATATTCCCTAGAAGAAAAACCATGTTGAACATTATCAAAATAGCAAACAAAAATACCAGCATTGCAGAGCTATCCTCTTTCCTCACTTCAAATTTATTTGGTCCTACTAAATCAAAGCAAGTTTTGGCCACAAGATTATGTGGATAAATAAAATCCAAAGCATATTTTTACTCTATGCCAGGCTGTCCAACAATAAGGCTTTCAAATGCAGGAAGCTGTACTGTTGAGAAATTTATGATGCAGGTGGCTTTCATTCAAATCTTTACTTATGGCAAACCAATCTGATAAATTTCTCAACCTGCTTGTTTCAGAGAAGCTCAGGATCTCACTACAATCAATACCTCCCAATAAACTTCTGACAGACTTATTTCAGTATGCACTGAGCTCAGAAAAAGTATTTTCTTCATCCAAGAAAGTCTGTCTACAGAAACATAGCATCAGAGAGCAAACCAGGAAGGAAGCTTGCAGATAAAGATTCCAGTTAAAAACCTCAAAGTATTTTTTGAATTATTTTTCTTCAAACAATGAATTCAGACTGATAGAGGCATAGCCTTTCAGACACACAGGATTTTTTAATCCTTAAGGTGAATATTCATGGTCCCCTTTCCTGTTAAATGCAACGTACACTTCTAGCTTGCTTTTTCCCAGCAATTGTGAACATATGCCAAGCCTACTGGACATCCAAGAATGGCAAGAGGAAAGAAAAAAACTAAGTGGTCATAGTTTGCATGATATTGATGTTTGAGTTTGCATCCTCTTGTTCCAGACACTGTACACATTTCAACATGATGTTTCTTGTTTTAGAAGCTTCCAAAATTAGAAATGTTACAAGCCAGTACTCCTTGTCAGTTCAGTAACAACTACGAAGAAATTAAACCACAACACAGAACCTCTCCCCTCCAAATCTTTTAAAAAAAGATTTTTTTAAAAAAAGATTTTAAAAAAATCTCTACACATACTTATGGAATGACATGGAAACACACAGGATTGCTCAAAAAGGGACTCTGAACAGTAATTCACTGTATCTGCCTCAGACATGGAGGGAAAATAGTCTCATTACTGAGAACTCAGCTTGTGAATTGCAGAGGAAGAAAAGCAGAGATTAAAAAAAGCTACCTGAAAACATCTCTCAAAATGATTAGAAAGGAAAAGTGCAGGAAAGCATGAATGGAAGAAAGAAATGTCAATCTGAATGTAGAGAAAAAGGAACATATTACAGAAGGCTTGTTTCTCATTTTCTTTTATCCTTCAACTACAATTTTACCTAACCACAGAATGTTCTTTTAAAGAATCATCATTTAAATATTGTTAGAAACATCCCTGTTGTTACATTGGAACGAAAGGTAACCCCAAATACCTTATTGGACATTTGCTGGCAGTGCTGTTCTGTAGTATGGATCAATGTCTGGTCCAAATCTACCATGAGCACCAGTTTTCTATTTCGATGTAGTCGCTGTTGATCTTCTCTTCCCAGCTGCTCAGCTTGCTGTAACAGAAATATTCACTGATAAGCTTAGCTTCATAGAAATAAATTAGATTTATTGTCTTTTGTGTACTTTACATGTGAGAAGCCCTGCTTCAAACTAACTGCACAAGAAATGATGTCTCAACATTAACTGTAGCAATGGCAACTGTGGAGCATTTTTTTTTTTTTACACGTAAAGAAAATGCTCTCAAAGTCTACTCTCAGATCTTTGTGACACTACTGTGACTCTTAAAATTCAAAAACTCAACACAAAACTTTCCAATGTAACAAATAAGTAACTGCTGATTTAATTTAAGACCCAGTCTCCTGACAGGAAACAGCAGTACCTTTGAACACAAAGGAAAATTTATCAGGTCTGAGAACTTTTGACTGCTATGTCCAGCAATTTTGCATCATAAAGTATAATATGCCAGAAAATCCCACATTAAGTACAGAACTGAAGCTGATGGTGATAGAAATGATACCTGCAAACTTCAGATTACAGAATGTATGCATTCAGACCGAAATAGCTAAGATTATGCAGTGCCACATGGGCTCTAACATTAAGACCTTATAATCCAGTAAGTATGAGTGAAGTTTACTCCTCCTGTGCGTATTTACAAACTTTCCAAGCACCATGTGAAGCTCTGTTGCTCTCTTGATTCACTTCTGATAGCAAGCACTTCTGTGTTACCCTCCAGACAACTGAACTTAAAAGTAAAGTTAGAGCATTATAAAGCAGAAAGGATCAAGTGCAAACTGCCCTTTGAAACACTCCTCTGTGATGGGGGCACCTCTAGCTGCTTACATCTTCAGAATTCCCCTCACTGACCTTCTTTGAAGAACTATCAGAAAAAAACAACCAAGTAGCAACATAAAAAAGTAAAAGGAGATCAGGTTGATAAAGAAGAGAAACAGAATGTTCATCTTCAAAATAAAACATGCTCCTTCCCCCTACACCAACTGAGGGATAAAAAAGCATATTTTGGTAACTCAGATGAATATTTGAAATATTCATGAATTCAGAATACTTGGAGTATTTGAAAAATAATGAAATAATTTTACCACACAGGTAAGTTGCAGCAAACTAGCTTCACTATATCAAATGGGTCAATTTCAAGGTGAAGGTCAAAGCTAGGTTTCAGACATTGAATCTTTGAACAGATTTCAGCTAAAGGAACTTTTCACTAACTGTTCACTCTTAGTGACAAAAATGTTCAACTATTAGGTTTACAGGCTGCTGTCCAAGTGACATCTTTTCAGTATACTGCTCTAAAAAAACCCAGTATAAACCATGAGAAAAATCAATTTACACTGAGACAAACTTACAAAACCCCAGGGCTACTAATGTTTAACCCCAAACTCCCCTTCCAACGGAAGCCAAAAATCCTGTATCAAGTACATAGAACATTTACAAAACTACTGCAATTAAGTTTCTCAACTGTGGAGCTACTGTGAAAGGTGTGAACAAAGAGAAAGCATGATGGTACTTACCTCAGAGCTGACTTTCAGCTCTGGGACACTGTGAACCATCGATACAGTTGCTGTGGATAGTGGCACACTCTGTTTTCCATTCTTGCTTCGTATCCTAATCACATAGGGGAAAAGAAGGATCACATGAGAGAATAATAGTTTAGTGAAATGTTAAACACCCTAAAATATGTAGCCTCAAACTAATCACCACCAAAAAAATGGTTAAAAAGAGATATTTTAACTAACACACTCTTTCAAATTCTTGCTAATCCAGGTTGCTACACAAAATGGATAGAGGGCAAAGAAACTCACCAGAAAAAACCCTGCAAAAAGTCACTGTAGTAAGTTACACTTCAATACAATTATTTTGTGACACATGACACTAAGATGAAACACATCTATGTATTGATTTGCATCAAAAAACAAGCTATAAACTAGATATAATTACCAAACCACTCACATTTAAAACTACTCACTTTCTTTTTTTTTTTTTCTTTTCAATCCCTCAGCTTGTTTTACAAGCCAGAGTATGAAAAATATAAGCAAAGGATAGACAAAGTTACTCTCTGCACACAGAGTTACTTACAGGTGACTGCTGCTTCAAAAATACCATACAAAAAAAAATCTCCTTACATGCTCTTCCCATTGGCAGAAAACAGAGTGAGGAACTCTGTATGCTTGTGTCTATTTTTTCATGTGTATCATTATACACATAGTCTTACTGGCATATAGATGTATGTATATACAGGTATCAACACAGAATAGGTGTCACCCTTGTGTGCGTACACGTATGTGAGACTGTGTGTGTGTACACACGAGTACAAAATTGCTTGAAAACGGATCAAGTAACCCTGTATAAGATCCCTTTCACTACCTTACATCAATCAATTTATTGGGAATTCTGACATCCAACTGATGAGTCACCAATATTAAAAAATATTAGCACACAGATTTTGTCCTAGGTGACACACGCATATCTTTTAATTCTCCCATGTACCAGTCCTATCAAGGACAGGATTTGGTATCAGATCTACAACACGAGTTAAACCATATTTCACTTTGTGACAAGCAAACTGCTGAGGAACAAGTGTGCTGAGCTGAGCTGAGGCAGACACAATCATATACAGGTAACTTTTTCCCTGTACCACAGTGTATGGCAGCATTGATGTCCAGTAATAGAAGTATTTACTAGGTCTAAAGCTTACAAGTACGTTTTAGCATTTTACATCCTTTGCTTCAGAGATCAGAAAACTTAATCTATAACACTGATTTTCTCCAAGCAAGAAAAGCATCAATGTTTTTGACTTGTCTTCTGATGTAGGCTCAGCAGTCATAACACAGTATTTCAGATGTATAAGCCATTTTGTATAAAATGAAGACCCAGATATAAGACATAGTAAGAAGTATTAAGTGAAAAAGCCTCAACTTATTAGATACCTTGGACTTGTCTGTATTTCTTGTATGAAATGACAGCAGTAGAGCAATATTTAGATGTGACTATATTCAAACCTCAAATCAAGTATTCATTCAGGACAGACAAAGCCCTATTCATGATTATCCTAACTTTGCTAGGTTTGCCAAATAATACTTGTTTACAAAATATTAACATTTAACTTAAAATCAAAAGTTATATCCAAATATTAACCAGGCTACTTCTTGTGTAGCACTCTCAAAATTCAGTTCACTTGCACTGGTTTGTGGCATAATGTTCATAAAACAATTCTTAACAATGAGAATGTATTAAAATGAAACCGAGGTATTTCCAGCCAAATGAAATGAGTATGCGACATTAATCTATAAAATCCAGGCAACTATACAGCTTGTTTTGGAACAGCTGTTGAATTAGTAATTTGATATGCATAAGAAACATTCTCTTTACCAAGCAATGAGACACAGCAAAGGAGAAATACAATCATCTTTTGAATTTGCTTTCTCCTTCGCCTAAGGCCTAAATTCCTTTAGTTCCATGGCAGAATATTTCACAAGAAATTGAAAACAGTTAAGAAGCCTTAAATTGAAAGCACTGGAGACAAGCTAGCTCCCATTCAGACACAGTACAAATGAAGCAAGGTCATTTGAATGAGACTGCTATTACCTCTCAGCTACTTGCACTTGCACAGATTTACTCAGGTTTACTAAGCAAGCTGTTGCTGACACACCATGCAACTCTCAGTCTCAGTGGTGAGTACATGGAAAGCAAAGTGTGATGAGAATTTACCTCTCTACACATGCCTCTTATATTTTCTATCTAAGTTACCCTACATTACCTCTATGAATAAAGAGCATGCACAGTTCTTAAATCTTAAATGAGTGCAGATCTCAGAGCTAAAGCCTTCTCTTTACAATCTTTAGCAACCTGAAGGGCCTAAAAGAGACCTAGAGAAGAGCTATTTACAAAGATGAGTAGAGACAGGCCAAGGGGGAATAGCTTTAAACAAAAAGGGAAGGTTTAATCAGCTTTAAGAATGAAATTGTTTTCTGTGAGGGTGATGAGGCACAGGAACAGCTTGCCCAGAGAAGCTGTGGATGCTCCATCCCTGAAAGTGTTTAAGGCCAGATTGGATGGGATCCTGGGCAACTTTGTTGAGTGGAAGATATCCCTCCTCATGACAAGGGAATTGTAACTACATGACCCCCAAGACCCTTCCACCAGGCTCAGGATATTTTATGACTCTATTAGATGAGAGACGGAAGAGCTTGAATGCCTAATCAGAAGCAAGTAGAAGTTGGATAAAAGAGCTGACAGTACTTACTGAGTTAAATCCTGGCCACATTCTGCACACAAGCCTTTCATAACAACAGGATGGCTGCATCCTTCCAGTCTCACCAGGACAGTCCTGAAAAAGACATAGGCATTCCAATTACAGAAGGCAGATTACAGACACGTAGATTAGTAACTCACAGACTGAATGAATTCCAAGAATAAATTCTGGTGATAACTTGAGGGTCAGCCCCTTAAGATACATGCTTTTGTCACAACATGGTAAAAAAAGAAATCTAAATCTAAATTTTAGACTTTCTAAAACTTTAGAAGTCACTGAACTAAGAAACTGACTGAGTCAGTTTCTACCTACAGTTTAGCAAGGAAGTTTGATGAGAATGAGTATTGCTTGTCCAGAAACAGTTTACATTCACTTGGATACAACTCCCCATTAACACCCTACACTGAGCTACACAGTAATTAAAAACAAATGCGGAAACCTGAACATTACAGAACAGTTCAGGTTTTCTTCTTTTAAAATCACTGAGTTCAATGGTTAACCTAACACAGCCAAGGCCATCACTAAACCATATCCCTAAGCACCACATCACCATGTCTTAAATTCATTCAGGGATGGTGTCTAGATCCCTTCCCTGGGCAGCCCATTCCATTGCTTGACAACACTTCCCGTGAAGAAATTTCTCCTCATATCCAGTATAAACCATCCCTAGCACCACTCGAGGTAATTTCCTCTCCTCCTATTGCCTGATACTTGGAAGAAGCAATTCTCACCTGGCTACAGCCTCCTTCTAGACAGTTGTAGAGAGTGCTAAGGTCCCCCCTGAACCTCCTTTTCTCCAGACTAAACACCCCCAGCTCCCTCAGCTGCTCCTCATCAGACTTGTGCTCCAGAGTCTTCACCAGCTTCCTTCCCCTTCTGTGGACATGCTCAGGAAGTCAACGTCCTTTTTGTACTGTGAAGTCCAAAATTTAACCCAGTATTTGAGGTGTAGCCTCACTAGTGCCAAACACAGGGGCAGACAAGTTCTATACCAACTTCATCTTAGTTTATTATTTTCATGGCAGATCTCTATTGCTTCAATCTTCTCATAAAAATATTTTAATTTCTGATCTTTAAGTCTTGACTCACCACATCTTAAAATAAAGACATAGGAACTGATATTTTATTCTTTCTTTTAAATAGTGGCTAAACCAAACCAGAAATTAGAGCTGGAAACAGAAGTGTGACATTCACTATTCCAAACTCTTTAGAAGACAAACTCTACTTTTCAGCTGAATAGTCTAACTAAAGTATTCCTCATCCAGTTATCAAAATTCCAGGTCTTGAAAATATCATTATTTATTTTCTCTCAAACACTTCAGTCACACTAAGCGACTTGTTTTCTTCATTACAGATGGAGACATTTATCTTTCAGACTTTTTATTTTAAAAAAAATCTAGTAACTAGATACACTTCAGCCACTACAAAATTTCACCAACTCTCTGATAATGAACTACATCATCTCCCTATTTAAAAAAAAAAAAAAGTCAAGCAGCTAAAAAAAAAAACCAACCAAAAAGCAAAAAACCAACATAACCCAAGCTCTTTCATAAACTGGCTGTAGTGTTTTAAGCATGGCTTCAAACCTGTACTGCAATAAGCAGACTGTACCATGAAGAAAATTCTGCATGCCCAAATATCTCGTTCATATCTCGTTCATATATCATATATCATATATAAACTACTAAGGGTTTGGGAATTCCAAGCAGAAACCCAGTTTCTAAATAATACTTGCAACTGCTTACTTGCAGTGTGACTCTTGTTCTTCAACAACCAGAAAAATGATGACACTACTAACAAAACTGCAGTTCATGCCTGCAATGAGGATTATTTTCCTCTCTGAGCAAAAACTGGATTCCAGTCAGGTTTGTTTCAAAATAAGTCTTCACAAACCATCATACTACCAGTATTCCCATTTACAAAAGTGCATATCTATGCCCTTCTCACTGGCAGTCATTATCTGCTTGGAAATTACACCTCCTCTTCCTATGTAGGCATCTTACATCTCCTTTTTTTTAAACATGGTATTTATTTCACAGAAAACAAATTATCAGTCTTGGCTTTTTAAAAGAACTGTACAATATAAAGTATTTTAGTGGCCCTTCACTAGTGGCAATTCACTGTGTGATTGTTTCACGGATTTCACAGAATTTAGGTCTCCTCTCATCCCTCTATGTTTATGCATTATTTAATTTGACTCTCTCCCCACTCCCTTTGACAATATGCCTAACTTGCTATCTTTTACCTTGATTCACTGCTAAGCTCCTTTTTAGGCTAACAATGCACACTAATGACCATGTCAGAATTCTTCATTCTCACCATGTATTCAGTGTATGAATCAGAAATTACAGACACACCTTAAAGGTCAAAAACCCACCCCATGGTACAAGCTATAGAAATATGCTTAAAAGATTACAGTGACTGAGTTTATACCCCAGATTAATTGGTTTTCAATAGTTCAGAAGAAAAAAGCATTTCAATGACAGCTTAGAATCCACAGCATCTCCAAACATTCTCTACTTTGCAGTCAAGGTAACCTCACACTCCAGGTATGCAACAGGAGAAGCTGGCATAGTCCTGGGCTGAGATGTGATTCAAAAATGGACATGAAGAAGCAAAGATTTTTATAAGAAAGTTAGAGTTCTAAATCATTCATTGATGCTGTTCCTAAACAGCACTTCTGTACCTTATACCAAGCATGACCACTAAATAGCAGCTTTGCCCCTGCAAAATCTAAACATAACCAGAACTCCTGGCCATATTAGATGTGCTAGAGATAAAATAAAAAGTATGTGATACAAAGTCCTCCATCATACTGCTGTCTGTGATGCTTACCCCAAAGGACAGAGGAAGAACTCCAGAGCCCTGATAAACTTCTGAGCAACATACAACCAAAGTGTCAAGTTTCAATTACAACTTTCAGGATCTTAGGCAGACTTCTCCCAGGGAAATATCCCAAAAATACTTAGTGCTGCAGGAAGAAAACCTGAACTCTGCTAAGGCCTAGGCATATTTAAATTTTAGCACACATGTTTCAATTACTAAAAAAAAACCCAACAAACAGACCTCAGTAAGAATGACTTTTTTTTGATTTCACACCTGGAAGCTCTCCTTTTACTATTGAAGTGTGGGATTTTCAAAATGTAATGGCCAAGATCAAAGCAAATTATCAGACAAAAGTGAGCTGAATCAAAGTGTGCATGTCTGGTTTTAAATGGCTGCATATACCAAATACAGGTTCAGGCTTCTGCCTGTTCTCTTCTCTGCATCATAAGTGAAACCCACTTAGAAGAACAGAGCCTTTGCCGACTCCATTTCTACAAAGAATAAACTGATTCTATTCTCCCTCCCACCCCCTACAAATATGAGGAACTACAGCACATTACTGCTGGCAACAGTAACAGTATCCTCTTCAGGATTCACTCCATGATAAGCAGAGCTAATTGGCTACTTCAACAATAGCATTCCAAGGAAACTGCCACAAAAGATGCAAAATCTTTTCTTAGTTTTACAAACTGTCCCAACTGTGCAGATAGGACAGGCAAAGCAACTAGGTAGGAACCACTATGCTGTGACAAGTAAACTTTTTTTCTGAGCAACTGTGGAGGTGGTAGATCACTCCAATACCCAGCCTGAAAGCTAAATGACTGCAACAGAACCACAAACTACCCACATGGTTTCTTTGGTACAATGAAACTTGAACTAGTAAATAAGACAACCCACTCTTAGCCCTTACTCTTCTTCCTTCCAGATGTACTTGTAAACAACACAGAAATTAGGTGTGCCATTAAGGTAAAATTTTATTTTTTGTGGTCTCAGTCATGAATAGGAACAGATATCTACCAACAGCCTGAGGATGCAGATGACCATAAGCTCATCACTGCTCTCCCAGTACTTCCACACTTACTTCCCGTTTCTAAACCAAGTATTTTAATAATGTCTGCTTTAATTCAGCAGCATAGTAAAGAAAAATAAAAAAAAAAAGGGGAAAGCTTTCATGAAATCTAACATGAACATTTTTTATTAACAGAGGAAGTCAATGCCTGTGCTAATCCTAAAGACTGGTCACTATTGTTGACTTCAAATGGAAGAACTTTGAATCAAGCATATATCACGGCACTGGTTCGTGGTAACTGAATTAAGTTGGAAAGCCACAACGGAGTTCTTGTATCCATGCTACACCCCAGTTGTAGTTGTTCTCACTGAAGAGAACCCATTGCAAACAAAAAGCATTCCCCTAAATGTTTTTTATTGCTTTAATTTTGTTTTGTTGTTCAGTTGTTTTTTAAAGCATCATCTAATACTTCCAGCAGCAAGTGCAGGAGTTACAGGAGAACAGTAGCAAGAACTTCTTGAGATGTTTTTTTCCATAGTAAGTCAACTACAGGAGGGGCTGGCCAGCTGCAGCACACAAGTACAATGGCCATGAGATCTCTTTGTAGTTGTCTTCGTAAACCTCTGTATCTGAAGGATACTCAGCATGACACAGAAATAGAGAGGTTCCCTCTGTTACTCAGAACAAGTCTAACCTGACTGTACATTAACCATGGCCTTCTATTACAGCTTGGCTTCACTTCCAGAGGCAACAGCTCCACAGTCATGCTGTCAGAGAAAGGCAATTACTCCCCACCCTCGTGTTCCTCTGAAAGCCTGGCCCCTCCTCAGGCACTTCCAGATGAACTTTTCAGAACCCTGCAAGGCTGAACTCTCCCGTCTTAACCAAGTTTTCTGCTGGTTTTAGAGTCAAGCAGCTAGTAAGAGCAGTCCAGCAAGGGTGACTGATCAAAGCTGCAAATGTTTCACAAACAGGGCTAAGACAGACACAGGTCGAGAAACCCACATTTTCTCTCCACAGTAACCAGGCCACTTCGCTAGTATTTATCTTTCCTATCTGTAAGGACTAGTTTGGACAAGTCCAAGTCATGGAAACTAAGTTTTATTTATTACCTTAAAATCTGCTTCAAGGTACCCTGCATTGGCATTGAAAATACAGTGCAATATAGTGCAAATTTCCATGAAGCTACTGCCCTGCACTGACTTGTATCTCATGCGAGTGCTGGCAGCCAAGCCATTGCTGGGTTTCCTCAGATCTGTTTG